AATGTATTCAATATTATTTAAGTAGGTCAGTAAAAACAACTACCTGACAGAGAACTCTCATACGGCAATGCACTATTGAACCATAAAATTCCGATCGATAATAACTTTGGGACACAAATAATTGTACAACTATAATATTTAAGCAATAATAATGAGAGGATCATTGCAATAATAATTTATTTATTATTTGGAAACATTATTTTTTTATTAAGACTGCTTATGAACAATACTGGCTACCTTTTATCGAATAGATATGTCTAGGTTAATTAGCAAGGTTTTCATTCAACATATTGAAGAAATATGTGAAACACTATAGAAACCGTGGGTCAGTACTACTAACACAATAATAAAAATCTAAATAAAACTGTTACAGTCGTATAGAAGTTAATAAATTATAATATAATCATCTAACAAATGTTAAATGTTAAAAATGATCTAAAATTTAATAACATTACAAGAGAGTACATGCTTTAAACACCACATACTATTCATTGTAGTATGTTCCATTTTTTTTTTTTTAACCGATAATCTATAATTTGTTGAAACGTGTGTAGTTTTACTTCCAATTATTAGAGAATAATTGCTCAGAATATATTTTTATGATAATCGTATGCATTAAAAATAAAACTACTCTTACATTTAAAAACTTTTTTTTTTATTTTCTTTTTCTCAAGCATATTTTTTTAGAAATAAAATATTTTAATTACGTTTTACTGTTTTTCAATAAAAAATAATTTAAATTGTTTCTTTTTTTCTAACAATTTTTTAATGTAATTTATGTTATGTCAAGTTGTAACACTGTCACGTTCGTAATGATGTTGGCTAGCTAAGTTCAGTTTTTTTTTTCTTTTTACGTTTCTGCTAATCGCCTTTATTTTACTAAGAGCTTATTCTTTACACGACTTTTTTTGTCGGTGTTTAATGAAAATTTTGCAATCAATGGGCCAGTCAACATATTTTGAAACTTGGTGTTCGTATTAAGAGAATACTGCCCGCTAGTTTTATAACAATAGCCAAGTCAGCAAATCATCTTGTATAGCGCGTAATCCTTGTACGAATGTAGCACACCTTACATATCATCAAAACACGTTGCTACCAATTTTAAAATTTTCAAAGCACATTTTTTAACAAATCAAGAGGAGTTCGTATTAAAAGAATACTGCCCGCTAGTTGTATATAAGTAGCCAAGTCAGCAAACCATCTTATAAAGCGCGTAATCCTTATACGATTGTAGCACACCTCTTTTATATGACCAGAAAACGTTGCTACTTTACTTTTACGCAATTTTAATTTTTTGATTTGACTCAACTTTTATCCGACAGCATTCACTCCTAACAAGTTACACTCTTGACACGCATAATTTCTATCTTCTACTATAATATTATCCATCAATATGTTACTAATGTAATAAAAAGGCAAAAACCAGTAAAATGTATTCTATACTTTACACAGCTTTCAAATTTAAGGTTTTTTTTTTTTTATATATAAGTAGTCAAATTTAATATGCATACGATTATTTTGTAGTTTTTATTTTCCAAACTACTCTACTAAATTTTCTAATTTTTTACGTTAATAACAAATGTTAGATTTCAGAAAACTTGTTTTTCATTGTAATGCTTAAAACATGGACTACCAAAAAAGCAAAATAATTTTCATTAGTGGTAAAGCCACTTTATTATTTTCGATAATCGGTAACCAGTAGTATAATAGTCAATAATAGGCATAAACAAGTATTATTAGAACTCAAAACTACCTTAACTTTAACTGAATTATGAAATTTCTGTACTTTTCCTACTAATGGGCCTTTGTTTTATTTCCTTGTATTATAACTCAGAAAATAAATGTACAATATTTGTATAACAACCTTAAAGAAATTTTACTTAAAAAAGACCTCAAAAATGTTGTCAAAATTAATGGACAATATTTTTTTCAAAATAATTCAATGTAATATTAAAGTCTTAAAAAGTAGAGCAGGAATAATCTAATGTGAGACATATTTTAACTTGGTACTTTACTAAAAAAACAACACTTCATGGCTCAATTGCATAAGACCGCTTCTTTTATAAACGGTCTTCTGAGAAATTTAGTAACTAATTGTGTAAGGGAAAACTGTTTACATGTTGTAAGTAAACATTTACGTGTTTTTGTCAATCTATATAAACACAAGACGGTAGGATTTCATAACTTACAAGTACAAAAAACACCATATGGCTTTCAGAAATAATTACAGATGAGCAACAACAAAATCAACTACTAAAGACATATTAGAAAATGTAAATACTATGAATAGTGTATACCTAAAAAAGGTAGTAAAGTAGCTTTTGATATTTGTGTAACACGCCAATATGGATTCAATAGATTTGAATGGATTTGATAAATTCATTGAATTGGAGACAGATGTGGTGTACCCTTTCGTCGAAAAACTGGTGCTGTTTGTGTATAATTTTTTGAGGGTTCACGTTTGGACACCGATGTGGAGATATTTTTGTGTTAGATTGGGATTTGACGAGGACTCAACCGTTATGTCAATACTAGTCCAGACGAGAATGCTTGAAAGTTTTATAACAGCAGTGCTGCTTGTTGCGTATGGAATTAATTTTAACAGGATGCTTGCTATTGTTTTCACATTGCATGTGTTCGTTCATATGTTGAATAAATAAAACACACCGTAGGTCTAAAATTTCTTTACTTATGTATTTATATTAGCCATAATCGAATTTAAACTTTTAAATTATCGTTTCTGGTGATACACCCGACCTGAATATTTTAATTATTGCTTACCAACTTTTAAAACTAAATAAATAAATAATTCATTAAAATGTCTAAATGTTTGCATTTGATGTTTGTAATTGTCACAGTTGCACTGTCCTTTTCTGTTTGGTGAGCTGTTGACATATCAACCAATACTTCATACATAATAGCTTCCAAACATGTCATCAACGTACATAACTTTGGATGTGACAAATTTGGCCACAAAAAATTTTATGTTACATGGACAAATAATAAAGCAATGAATATTACATCGTTTTATCCTGATGGGTACATTGGAGTCAGTAATGGTACCGATATTATTGTTGGTACTAGTTATAACATGATTACAAGAAACCAGTACGTGCAATACACAACAGTGTTACCAGGACAGGATAACGATGGACTGTTCATTGAGACATGCGAAAAAGTGACATATGAGCATCGCATTGACTTAGGTCTGTTTGCAATACTTGTAAGCGTTATATACGTATTGGTGTTGGTTTTGTATTATGTGTTGATTATTAAATGTTGTGCGCATAATGATTATGAAGGTATAAATTAGCTCATAATTATCGTTCCACTTATCATTTTACTTTATCAATTGTTTCTTAATAACAATTTAAAATGTCTGACACCCAAACTACTCCAAAATCTGACTCCCAAGGCAACAACAAACAAAAAACCAGGATTTTCTCACAGAAACCTAATCCTGATAAAGTTGCTGCGGACCTTGTAAAGAAGCTGGACAATACATTGTCCAAGTATGTTAAAGTTGCCAACGACGCTAAAAGAGACTTAGACAAAAAGAAAGGCAAGCCAAAACAACCGGTCGCAGAGAAACAAAACTCTATAGACAGTATGATACGCGATATGGAGGAACAAGGCCTAGTCGAACCGAGCACATCGCCCTGGGCCGCCCCTATAGTATTAGCCAAAAAAAAAGACGGGTCCCCCCGACTCTGTATAGACTATAGGCGTTTAAACAAGGTCACCGAATCAGACGCTTACCCCATGCCGCATTTGAACGAAATGATTAGAAACATGCGGGGGCGAAAGTATTTAGCGTTTTGGACTTAAAATCTGGCTACTGGCAGGTCTCCCTAAGTCCAAGTGCGTGTAGATACACTGCATTCAGAACGCGAAGAGGACTCTTTCATTTCAGAGTACTTCCGTTCGGCTTAAAGAAATCCCCTATGACATTTGTGAGATTAATGAACGAGGTACTTAGAGGATATTTAGATGAATTCGTTCAGGTATACTTGGATGATATAGTAATATTTTCCAATAACTTGCCCGACCACTTAGACCATCTCTCGAAAGTTCTCGAACGGCTCGAACGTCATGGACTAACGTGTCATCCTAAGAAATGCAAATTAGGAACTCCCGAAATTTCATTTTTGGGGCACTTAATTAGTTCGGAGGGAATTCAAAAACAACCGGAGAAATTATCAGCGATCAGAGACTTTCCGACACCACGGAAAGTTAAAGATCTACGTAGGCTCTTAGGCGTATGTAATTGGTATAGTCAATTTGTCGACAACTACTCCGACACGATTGAACCTCTAACCCGCCTATTAGGACATGGGGTAAAATGGCGATGGGAAAGGATAGAACAAGACGCCTTTAATCAAATAAAGAATGCTTTGTACCATTCCCCAAAGTTATCTTCTCCCGACTACGAACGCCCATCTGTTCTGTCTGCAAACTGATGCAAGCGACATAGGCGTAGGTCCTTGGGTAGAAAATTTTCCAAAAATAATATTCTTCATAGAATTAACGAGGTTTGCCTATGAAAACTAGACTGTCTGTCCGCGGATTGAAGATGGTCAACATGGAACACTTTATAAAGCAGTTCTAAATCCATGAATGTACATGGAAGAAGACACACAAAGATTAAAAAAATAATGAAAACCATGATATACAAAAAATTAAACACATCCTAAGGAGTATGATGCAAGAAGCCAATAATAACATCACTATTAAACTCACAGCATCTTATTTAAAAACAATTGAGAAAAGATTCCCATGATCATAGTAGTGTTTTACCTAATGTAAACTGATTCACTTTTCGAATACTCCCATAACTCATTTACTATAAGAAAAAGGCATTACAGGACTAAGAATATGTTTAAATACAGTTCAAGGAAAAAAGGAGTTGTTTCTAGATTTAACACTAACTAAAAGTAGATTTTACAGTAACTTAGGATTAGCAATACATTTAACACTAGTAATTAGGTATATTAACATACCTAGGTACCTCACAAATACAAATGATACACGGCGTTGTATTTGTTGTTGGCACAATCAGTTGTCGGCCAGCATTCCTTTGTACTGCGAAACGAACGATCATCTTTAAACACTTCCATGACATTAATCTTTAATCTTATATCCGTACTTCCAATCAATACCTAAAAACAAGAAGTTGGCCAAATTTAACTATGTTCATATTAAATACGCATTCAACGTATACAAGATATTATATATATATAGTGTGAATATTTTTATTGAATATTTTTTTGGACCCTATATACCTTGGCTTAAAAAATATTCAATAAAAATATTCTTGTTTTAGTGTAACTTATTTTTTAAATTAAAACCTTGTCGAAGAATTTTTATAGTCCATAAAAAATGTAACATTTACTTAATATTGTTATAATTAACCTGAATGATATAACCATATATTGGAAATTTTACATGGATGTCTAACCATTTAGTATAAATTATAAAAAAAAAGGATTTACATTTGACCCTACGACAGTGATTATTTTCATAAAATTTTTGATAAGTCGGTAATATAATTAAAATCAATATTTCACAAAATATATAGTATCTCCAGTGTTATATTAAGGTATTTGTACAAAAGTAAAGTAATATTTATATTCAAAATTACAAAGGCAAAAATTTGTTTATATGTGTAAATAAAATAGAATATCTAAAAAATATTCTATTCGAGCTGTGAAAAACGGTCGTCGTACATCCATATACTATAATCAATAAATGATAAGAGCCAAACCAACAAAGGAGTTTTTTTAATCAAAACAGTATCTTTGAAAATATTATAATAAAGTTTCTTTTGCAGATAGTAACAGGTCAAGCTGCACATAAAAAGTAAATTCAGGACTGTCCTGTAATTTAGAAACCTTTATTATGATTTGAAGATAAACAGATAATTTGTAAATATTTTAATAATTTTCTTGTCTAGAAATATTAGGTAAAATGAGGTTAATGGTACCAATTTATTTAACAAGTTGGCAGCGGGAGCCTATTTCAAATGCCTGTAAATTATAGCGTTCCTAACAATCTTAATAATGAAAATCATACTTCTAGCGACAACTAACATAATTTTGGTATCAATCAATTCATTAGAATAAGAGGAATCTAAAACAATTATCTAACTGACGGGTGTCACCTTGTGTGCAAAGAATGGTTTAAAAAATGTAATTATTTCTGGACAATGGGTGGCACCAGTAACTCCAGTTTTATTGGAGGTTTTTACCATCATAATCAAATAACCTCAGTAATAAAGAAAACAAATATTCAAAACCTTCACAAGCCGTATTCAATTTAATAAAACCCATCTAAAACTGAAGTGTAACAGCTGATAAGAATACATATGTTACTATTTGTTATCTTAACGCAGCGATAGCCGACCGGTGGCGTGCACTGTGCAGTAGTGGTTCTGTGAGAGTAGAGAGCGGTCTACGCGCTTAGTACCGTGTCTGGCCGTAATTTGTTATACTTATAATTGTAATTTATGTTAAAATAAATGTACACTAGTTCAACCTAGGTCGTCTCAGTCATTTTGTTTAAATATATTTGTATTATTGGGTATATCCGTGTTAAAAAGTTAACACATTAGACAATTAGTTAATGTTTTATTAAAAACTTTTGAAGAAAAAACTAGGCTACATGGGAACTATGAAAAAGAATAAACAAGAAAAATCTCCTTCATTCTTACATAAAAAAAAAAAAAGACAGTAGGAATAGTTTAATATGGATTTACAAAACGCATAACAATGGTGTCAATAGTAACAAAGCCTGGGAAATCAATTATTTTAGTATCATCTATGCATCATCAAAAATGTATTGATAAAGAAAATCAAAAACTATAAATTATGTCATACTATAACTCAACTAAAGGAGAAGTTGAATTATTATACCGAGTGTTTTATGTAAAGGCTGGGGAATTGCCAAGTCTGACAACGGTTGGATTATCGGTGAAGTTTTTTTTGAATACATGGCAAATGTTTTTCACCCTTGGCTAATACAAAATAAAATAAAACTACCGGTCATTGACGGTCATCATGTAAGCCATCTGACTTATAACCTGAGTAAATTTTGTTTAGAAAATGGCATCGAGTTAATGGCTCTCTACCCAAATGCTACCCATATACTACAGCCTTTGGACGTTTCAGTGTTTGGTCCACTAAAAAAAGCTTGGGCAAATGCTGTTCATACATGGCGAATGAAGAACTTGGGTAACACTTTGACCAAAAACCAATTCGCCCCATTAATATCAGACACCCTAAATAATAACTTATCAAAAGATAATATTACAAATGGGTTTAGAGTGTGTGGAATGTACCCATGGGATTCAAACGCAGTTGATTATACAAAGTATGTTTCATCACACAGCTTAAACGAATCCCATGAAAATGATTCTCGAAGACTTGAATCTTTGCCAGCTATTAATAAACAAATGGTCAAGCAGTATTTAGAATCATTAATTGGGCCAGAAAAAATTAGCCAGTTCAGGAAAGCATATGAAGAAGGTAGAAATTGGGGTGGACAAATAGAGTCAACAGATTTGTACAATTTATGGACAAAAATGATTTATGAAGATTCTTTAAATAATTGTATAGGACCTCAGCCTTCAGTATATCGACAGTGTTTTGTAGAAAGGGCGTAACCCACCAAAAATCTAAAATAGACTTTTTGGTATCAAAATTTTCAAAAAAATTAGGAGCATAATCTGTAAAAAGGGCGTTCATGAACATAGACTCAGTATTTCACTATTACAATTATAGTACACACAGACGCCCATTTCACAAAAACAATTTTAATTTTTAAAACGTAGAAAGGGGGTATGCCACATATTTAACACTATACATTTTGTACCAAATGTATGTTCGGCATATTTTACACAAAAAACGTGGTAATATTATTTTTATCAACATAATAATGTGTTGAGGTTAATAAGATCTAAACGTCAGTTCATCATAATATATAAACTATGTGAGAAAGTTTGTGGTTAGCAATTTTTGCGGTAAAATAATAATAATGATAATGGTATGTACTCCCGCGTTGATCGTTCTTATTGTTTATTTTTCCTTAATGTTCTCAATTACAACGTCTGTCTGTATATATTTAGTCATTAGTTTTATTTCATAATAATAAAAAAAAATGAGTAATTTAAGGAGTAGAAGAATCCTCTCACAAACAATTGCAAGTACAATTAGTAGTGATTCAATTAATATTATAAAAGTGAATGCTTCTAACAATAACAGTGTCGTTTTAAATGAAAATAATGACGTTTTTGATATTATTTTAGATATTGAAAACATTGATCAGTTTGTTATGCTTAACGACAATAATATTGTAAATTATAATGATGATAATATTAATTTTAATACTAATAATAATTTGACTGATACTTTGAACTATATTGATGTGCCAGTTTCTTTTGAATCTAGTTTAGGAAATAATGATAATGATTTTAATAAAATTACATTATCTAATGAATATAATGTTTTAACTCCTGACAATAAAGAAAGGGTGGAAGTAGAAATTGTTTTGCCAGTTTCTCTTACTAATAATAATAACACTGATTCTAATATAGTCAATTATGACAATATTAATATTATAACTAATACCACAATAAATGAAAACGTTTTATTTAATGATAATGAACAAAGTCTGGAAGTGGAAGTTTTTGGGAAAAAAAAGAGAAAGAAAGATGATCGTGTTGTTAATATATTAAACCGAGAGAAAGGGAAATGTTATAAGAAAATAAAGCAAGATAACACTTTTGAGTTAGTTGCACAAAAGGAAATGAAACCAAATCCTTGTTTAAATAAAAAATGTTTAAATAAGTGTTCCTTCATAACTGAGGAGGAAAGGTCAGTAATTTTTAATAGATATTGGAATGAATTGGATCACAATAGAAAAAGAGATTATCTATTAAGTTGTATGAGTATGCAAGATGTCAAAAGGAATTATGTCTCCCATGTCAATAATCGTTCATGCACTTATAGTTACTCTATTGTTATTGACAATGTGCAAGTAAAAGTTTGTAGACAATTTATACTGAGCACATTGAATATATCTGAAAAGCTGCTTAGGTACACTCGGAATAACAAGTCTGACTTACTTTCAGCTAAATCTGATAATAGAGGTAGACAACCGTCAAAAAATAAAACTCCTCATAACCAAATAGAATATGTTGATAAATTTATAGAAAAGTTGCCAGCCGTTCCATCACATTACTGTAGAAGTTCAAGCAATAAAAAATATACAACAAATGATTTCCAAAGTTTAGAAAATGTATACAGGGTTTATAAAGAAGATTGTAAATTGAATAATGTTTTACCTGCTACTAGTGGTGTTTTTAAAAAGAGGTGGAACACAGAATACAATATTGGTATTCATGTTCCAAAAAAGGACAAGTGTACATTCTGTGAGTCATTTAAGAATAGCATTCAAAATGAAAGTGAACATTATATTTTATTCAATTTTAAATATTTATTTCTGTTAATAGATTTTTTTGTTTACTTATTGATGATGAACTTTTTTTAATGAAGCAACATAGTTTATAGACTTTTATTTAAAAATAATATTGTTATATTTTAATTATCTAGTAATTATATACAACTCAAAAGGAGAGTTCCTACACACCATTAATGTTATGTATACATTACTAAAAATTTATTATCCAGTGAAAGATTTTTTATTTACCTATTCATTTTATATTTTATTGATGTTGATCTCTTATAATAAAAGTTTTATAAGTCTAAGTATAATCAATTATAGTTTTCAATTATTTAAATTATCTAATTACTCTTCATAACAGGTTTATACAATACCAAAAATTTACTTATGAAACCAAATTAAATTTTAAAAAAATCTACCTACTTAAATAAAAAGGGCGATTAGAAATATAAAATTCAAGAAGGGCTTAAGCCACAAAAAAATTCTAAAATCAAAAAGGCGCTGGGAAATTAAAATTACAAGAAGGGCTTAAGCCACAAACGATCACTGAAATAAAAAGCGCTTGTAAATTAGAAACGCAATAAGGGCATAACCCACTTATACCTTTTTTTAAGTGACAGTTACAATGATACTCTATGTTTATATTAACTTTATTAATATAAAAATTATTTTCTTAATATTTCTATTTTCCAAAAATGTAATTTTGAGAACACTTTGATTAAAACTGTATTTTCTGCAATGTTTTTACTCTCCCGTAAACAATTATGAAAATGTGGGTTACGCCCTTTCTACAAAACACCGTCGATATGAAACACCCATAAAAAGTGCAGCCCATATTATTTCTTTTGAAAATGGTCAAAATAGTGATTTTTCATACACTAATATCAACTGAAAAAAGGCAAGATAAATTAGCCAAAATTATTTGTCCAGTAACAAATGGAGTAGATGTTCCTTCTTCATTTAAAAAACATTTGTTATGGCCAAAAACTCCTCCGAAAAAATGTTAGAAGGAAAATTAGAATGCCTTCAGTTGTAACATCAGACCAATTTCAGATATTTCACCTCAAAAAAGCCGAAGAAAAAAAGAAAGCAGAAGAACGAAGAATAAAACGTTTAGAAAAAGCTAAAATAAAAAAAAATAAACTTGGAAAAAAAAATAAAAAAGTTGTTAACGATTTAGAAGAAGAATGGACGTGTAAAGTTTATGAAGCTTAGTATTATTCAGAATCGATAAGAGGCTTAGCTAGAAAATGGATTGAGTGTGATGGTTGTTTGGCACAATATCACGTAGATTGTATACCAAAAAAACATAGGTCAAGTATTAATTTCAACGTATCTGAGGAATGTGTAGAATTTCTATGCCATTTTAGTGTGAATAGCGATGAAGAAGACAGTTCCTATTCTGACTAGTTTCACCAGTAAAATAAAAATAAAATTGCACCAAATGAGTTACTATCATCATCATTATTATTATTAAATGTATATGTATATTATTATTAGTCTATTACAAAAAGCATATTTATACTAAATTTAATGATCTCAAGGTTGAGACTGACTATTTGTTTAAAATACTTATTTAATAATTAAAATGTTGTTCATCTAGTAGGAATTTACAAATTTATGTAATGTTTAAGTTAATTTATGCAATATAGAAGAAGTGACATTTTTCTTTATTTTATTGGCATTTAATTGATAAAAAATATTTTTAAAAAAAGTGTCATTTACTGGGTTTTCTTGGTGTCATACACTAGAAAATTGTGTTATACACTAGGTCTATAAGGAAACTAATTGATCAATTATTTTAGCTATTAGAGTGAATGAAAACAACTCCGATTTTAGAATTTTATTGATGTATAGAAGTTGAACGACAATTTAATGTACTTGAACAGTAAAAATTCTTATCGGATTGGTATTTAAAAATGTGTTCTCTTATCAGGCCTGTTATACTGTCGTTCACTGGTATCATTCACCCTATTACATTTTATTTTAATCATTGAAACACCAGGATCCAGAGGGGAATGCAATATCGCTTTTTAAATGTAGCGGTGTATCACACTGCACTGTACCAGTAATGTCATATTTTTTCACTGTACCAGTTACGAATTAAGAAGTATACCAGATTGCAGTGAGAACAAATTATTTTAAATAGTTATCAAGTAGCTCAAAAATTAGTCACTTGTCAAATTTTTAAACATTGTACACGATTATGTTTATAGCAGCATTGTTAACGTTTAGGTGGCATTTAATGATGCTGAAACCAAGGAACGACTACTATTGTTTTGTTGTGTGTGAATGCGACTGTAAACTGTCCATTTGACTCGCCAATAATATGGTACATTAAGTTCAATAATAACCTTTAAACAACCAAGTTATTTGTTTTTGCTTATTGTTTATATGCTAATGGCATAATATTTTTTTGTTTGAAACGTTCAACTATTACCATTTAAGAAAACATACATACTATATTAGATGTACATATGGTTAAATCGAATGTTGGAAAACGAATACAGATAAAAATGTATGAAAGATATTTTTCCGTTATTAACATTCTACCTATTATACATCGGATTTTTTTTTTTTTAATCGTATCGACGATCAAGTATTTCAGATTTCATTAGACATTGAATATGAACACAGAATAATTGAAATCAGAATGGAAATATCGATAATTTACCATGGGAAATAAAGAACGCATAATCTATGACCTTCGGCCATGTTCTCGTGGCTGTTCTTTTATTCTTAAATCCAAGTACATTTTATTATTTTGTTTAATTCCACTGAGAAAATGGGCGCCGTATAACCTAACCCGCCTTATATTCGCACGTAGTCGTGGACACAAAAGGCAATAAAAATTCAATAAAATTGTCCTCGATTGAATTTCAGTATTCGGCAAATGTTTTAAAACAATTTTTAACCAAGAGACCGGAAAAGTGAAACAAATTCAATCAAATTCAAATCTACATACCCATCACACGAAACGAAGGTGCAGTCGAAAACCATTCGACGTTGGCGGCCATCTTGCCGTGTGCACAACAAATTTGATATAGGCATTTTTTTTTTCATACCGCAGTAAAAACTGTAATATTTGCGACGGAATTTCGAATACAGCCGCAAAAGTTAAATTAACATACAGGTACACTTCGACTTATGTTTTGAGTAAAAAAAGCAATACGATTATTAAAAAATTTAACGAAACTGAGAACAACGCGCATTCGATTCGGTACGTCGTTAGAATAGGCGAACCGCGAACGGCAACCGAATTTCAGCGGACGCCGAGCGAACAAAGCCCCTGACGGCTGGAACACGGAAATGGCGTCCGCAGTGATGGGCATAGACTATAGAAGCACAACCGAATACAAACTATCGATTAAATTATCCAACTATAATCGATAGTTTGCTTAGCAGTTGTCTTAGATATAATATCACATTATGTATGACAAATCAAACTATCGATTTTAGTGACATTATAGTAGTATATATATATATTTATTTCAATGGTTGTTGATGATCGGCTATGGTTTACAATCTTATTGCACGATTCGTACACGGTACACCCGCGGTATCGCAGTAGATGCGGTTGTTATCTCGAATAATGATAACATTGTTAAGAGCTATCGGCTGATAACCGCTGACGCACTGCGTCCTGTTCACAGATTGAAATTTGAACGATAGGCATATTAATGTTATTATGAAGTTCAACAAATTAAAAATTCTCCAATTTCACTATGTATTAAATGTTTATGCCTTCACACGTTATAAATTGTACTAATTAAAACAACATTTATGGAACGCACTTTTCTTCACCGGGCACACTATTTTTTACCTTATTTATTGTGTTGTAGTCTTTTCCAGTTCAAAAGTTATAGCTACTCAATCTTGGGGAATTATCGTTGCCCAACTTTGAGAGTAAACAGGCAAAATATGTTTACTGCAATCAGTGCAGTGACATCAACATTCACTCTTTTTTTTTTTATATAATATATTTTATTTCAAACCGAGTAGTCGAAGACATATTTTTTTTTTTTTTTGATCTCGATTACTATAATGGCACACCACAGAACTATGTTGTTACACGATGTTACTACAGTTAGCCCAGTGAATTTTCGACAAACCAACACAAGAACTAGTTGCCAGTTGAACTAGTCATAGTCACTGTACTCATTTATTCGCTCAAATGAAATTGCAATCCCTTCAACTGATGCTATATAAAATATCATAAGAAGGGATTTAAATATAATTATTTTGAAAAAACTTGTTTAATTTCTTAGCAACTTATATTAATACAAAAAGTTTAATTAAATTAAGTTGTATAAAATAATAAATTTAAATCAACAATAGATAACCTAGTATTTACCTTCACTAATAAATACTTAATAAGTAATAACTTTTCATATCTAGCTAATAAGGGTATGTATTTTACACACAGCTTGTAGCTGATAATTACAAAATATGTCAATGAGGTAATTTAGTTTGTTTTAACTTTCTACAATGTCAAAAGTCTATTATACCTAGATCATCAATAAATGAATAGTTTTTCATAAATCGTTATCAGTTTACAATCGTGAAAAATTCTGACTAAGTACGCCAACGTTTTAATTTAGTCAATGTTTAAACATATATATATACTTTGGTTTAAAAAAAAACTGCTGGAGTGGGGACGGAGTTATCTACAGGAATTATTATAACTAATAAAAATGATAAAATCACTTTTAAATAAACGCTTCTAAGCGAATCTGTGGATGCCTAGTCGATTCAAATCTAACCAAAATATTTTTATGGTAAAATCCTAACAACCTTAACATTTCTTTGTGTGTAATCTTAAAAATCAATTTAATTATAATTGTAATCATTTACAATTATTGTTAGTTATTATTTGCTCGATTAAAAAAAAAAAAAATAGTATTAAATACACAAATTTGGGCTGAAAATACTTTTATAGGCCAGCTGTGATAGAAATTTAACATTATTTTAGAAGGTGCTACCTGTTCAAAAACTCTGGGCTTATTACTTGTTCAACTAGTTTCTAGTAGTAGTGATGTATAAGTAAATATTAGGAAAACTTTTTTTGTTGAGGTATTTATTTAATTTATAGGAAGCTCTCCCACTTCACCAAAGACATTTTGCTTATGGTTTAAGATTTCTAAATCAGTAACCACTTTCTACTTTTCTAAACACAGCATATACCTACCTACTATTAAAAATAATCGGATGGAGTACATGATTTTTATTATGAGTACACGGTATACATGCATACATGATAAAGTGGGATGTGTGTATTGATAACACCATTCATTATTAGTAATTAGTTAAGAGAGATTTACAGTACCATTAACAGAGATTTCAAGCACATCCTCTGCCAGTGGAAATCTAATACCGTGGGCCCGACACTCTCATTGGCAATAGCATTAGTCTTAGAAGGGACATCACCAATACTTAAATTAATATTTTTAAAACTTTCATCAGAAACAGCATCTCAATTTCTGAAATTTTACAAAATAATTTTATACTTTCTTATTTACTAATTGAAATAATGAACTAGAATACAAAACAAACACACTTCAGTACGGGACAAAAACACTCTTAGCACGATCGAACGAGACTCTTGCTATAAGTTGTCGTAAGCATAATTCAGTCAATGAAAACAAATTATTTTTTTCATTGTCTTCTTTGGATATTGCTCTTTTTGTTATTATGTCCAAGTCTCAACGCTGAAATACAATCGTATTGTTTTAAAAACTAATAAGAACGCCAAATTTTTTATTTATTAAGAGGTTTGGTATAGGCGAATTTTGTCAATATATGAATATTAAAAGATTCGTGTACCTTTATTGATACAGAAATGAGATGTTTTTATGGGTGGGTAATTTTTTTTTTTTTTTTAATTAGACTGTTATAGCATCAGTTTCCTAATTTTTCACTGTTAATGGTCAACAATTAACTGTCCTATAAATAAAGCTATTAATGTTTAAACTATATTAATTACGGAAAAATAATAGAACAGTTTAAGAATTAGCCAGTTACACATCTTAATGATTTCCACTACATGCAGTATGGAAGATGTACGGTACTTATAATTAAAGAATGAAGATGTTCATGGCCAACTGGCCAACTTGTGCGCCAGCATGTACGCGAACAATGTTCGTTGTGATTTATTTGTGTTCGTTCAAATTTATTTTCCACCAACCTTTTTAAAATTCCAAAGGATTGTAATAATCCCTAGCCATAGGTGCAATATTTCACAATTAAAACAGTTGTTAGCTTACATTTAATAATAATAACCTATATATTTTTTTTTAAAAATAACGATTAATTGCAAAAATTACTAAATAGCAATATTCTTCAAGTCGACTTCAGTACACCACTTATCAAAAAGTATTCAGTTGTCACTATCCGTTGAGTTTGTTTATTCAACATCATTGACTTTTTCCTTATCACGAACACTTGTCTTGCGAATTTTTAGCACAGTGTACATACCTTTCAAAAGTACACGCGTCTTACGATTTGTTCGCACCTTGTACCTATCCCATCTTCATTCAATCTATAATTAACTCACTATTACAACGGTTCTTCGACATCTGAGAAGAAACCGCACAGCTAACCTTAACACTGTCGGCAACTCAACTAAGAGCCTAACACTAACCATCCAGTGTGTCTGTAACTAATACTATCTATCTTTTGTCTTATGACAATGTGCAGTTTGAAAGATGTCAAACAATTTTGTCACATGATAAACAACACATTTGATATTACGGACAGAATATTATAATTTTTAAAATCCTTATAGTTATGTCATTGTAAACCCTTGCAGTAACTAAAGTATTATTAGTTAAAAGACACAGAAGAACATAAATATATTTGAACAGCATCATCATGATTATTTTAACTCAGTAGCTCTTTCTAATATTAATAGAGGGGCTCTTAATGAAAAAAACGCATAGCTGTATGTACAACAACAGCCTGCAAAGGCCGTTTATCGAAACGTGTAAGCCACGTAATTTTGTAATTTTGCACGGAAAAAAAATTGTACGTTTTTAGTATTACAACAATCGACATTAACTCGCTAAACAACTGACGTATCGATTCAGCCGTACAATACGGTAAAAGGCAAAATCAATAAAATCTCGTCGTCAAATGACAAAACGACGGAAAAATTTATTAAATAACGGAAGCCACCTATATTCCAAAATGACAGCCGCTCCGATCAATTCGTGATAATTGATAAAACGAAAGCCGCGTTATCAGCAGCTGATTATGCGTTACACCCACGATGTAGAAAAGATAAGGTGATGCCACTCCAACCAAATCAGTGGGTCAAGAAATTACGGCATTTTGGTAGTACAATTTTGTCACGTAGATAGCGCCACCATTCGCCCGGAGGCCGACTTTTACATGGAGCTGATAGGGTTTCTTACATATTATTATACGCTACTGTCATTTTTATTGCTAAATATAAATATATTACATGTAATTTTATTTTATTACAGGACTATAGATTATATATTATTTAAAAAACCACAATATTCGTATATTCCACAAAAGACGTTTATAGTCGAACGATGACTATCCTTTTATAACAATATATATGAAATTATTCTATACGATATATAATATAATAACACGTATTATGTACAAGAAAAAATTGTCCTCAACCCCTCCCTCCCCCCTCCTATATCTAATTTTAAGCACCAGAGAAGGCTTTTTCAAATTGAGTTTATAGTTGTTGAAGGTCTATGAATAATTTGTTATAAAGAATAACGACAATTTCTTTAAAAAAAATGTAGTTTCCTATAAAACCATATGTGAAACTAGACATTTTTACAAGATAAAGCTTATTCTATGGTAACTAAAGGGACTTATAAAGTAGGGTATATTAAAACAGTGATCGGAGAGTTATTTAGGAAAAATAACTCGATAGTACGATTTCAAGAAATAACGAAATTTCTGGACTTATAGTTCCGAAGATATTTTAATTCTTACTTAGGTAGCCGCAATTCCCCTTAACACTTAGTAATTAAAATATAATTGTTAAATTATTATTTATTTACTTCAAGTTCTAAATGACTTCAGGAAGTAACATTGTAACAATTATATAATAAATGCCTATAATATATTACTTAAAACACAATTTTATTTTTGGCTTTGGGGGTTTGAACCCGAACCCCCCTGTTAGTACATCACTGTACATAACAATAAATACATTTTTTCCGATTATTTTAATTTACCCCCGAAAAATAAGCATCGCTTGTGTAAGGTGGATATTAATTACTTTAATATACCCCAATTAAGTGTCTTCGAAAGCCCGACTACCGTGTAATTCAAGCCCAATTATACGTGCAATGCCTAGGGACGAAGTAGAGACATA